GGGCGGTGAAAGGGCTTGAGGGTACCCCACAGGGAGGAATTCCCAACTGCTCCTTCCTGGGTCCAAGGGGTTTTTTTTGCATTTGGGTAGTGGCAGTGTTTACCAAGCCAAGGTCAGAGAAAAGCTGTAACCTTGGGAGTTTAATACAAGCCTAGAGTGACCAGTATTAATTTTTAGAATCCTTGCGGGCCCTGACCTTCTGCACTCAAAGTAAGGATTCAGCCTTGACAGTATGTGAGTGGCTCCATTCAGAAAGCCAGAGATGGTTGGCCTTCAAGGCACACTGTGTTCTGCATATTTGCTCAGGCTTTTCTCTGAAGGGTAGCTTGAGGAACTGTGGGAGGCTTTCTTGCAGTTTGGGGAGTTCTGACTAACTGACTTTGTGTCTATCTAGTTTGTTCTGAAGCATGTGGTTGAATGTTTTCTGCGCAGGCACCTATCCCTTGCGATGGGGGACATTTTACTGACAACAGGCCCAATCCTACAAAGTGCTGAGCATCTCCTGCAAGGTGCTGAAGGCCTTCAACACTCTTTTACATCAGTGGGAGCTGAGGAACACTCAGCATGCCAGAAGAATCGCTCAGCACTTTGCAGGGTATGATCCTGACAAAATAAATTAAATGAGAGAAATGTGGGAGAGGGAGGCTGAATGTCTTCTCTCTCCCGGGTGGGATTAATCTTCTTTCATCATCCCCTCTTTCATTTTCAAAGCACTAGAGCACACCATTTTTCCAGACTAAAGTGTTTTAATCTGCAGCCAAATAAAAACATTTCCATCATTCATATTCTCTAGGTCTGTAGGGGCCCATACAAAACAGTGAGATATTCCGATCATTAAAAGTGACAATACATATGTGCATTACCATCCATTATGTAGGACCAGAAATATTGTTACAACACTAGCATTATATTAGGGGGGAAAAACTGTAGCCAAAAGCTCATCCACATTTGGATTAATAGTGCAAATATCCAACTGTCTGATTATTGTATATGTCCTTGTGTAGATGTTTTCAAACTCATGCTGTCTCTATAATTGTGACTAAAAAGGCCATCAGATTCAGAACATTGTTTCCCATACTTCTGAGTTACATTTATGGGCTAAGACACGCCAGGGTACACTGTGCTGTTGCCTTGTAGTAATTCAAAACATGACAGGGGAACTGCAATTCTGGACTAAAGATGCATTAGCAGGGCTGTCTGAGGGCAACTTGCACAACACCTGCTCATTCTTAGCTTAGCTCTAGTCTGCTAGGAGACCCTCAATTTCCTGAGCAATACATTTTGCACAGCTATACCAGCAAAAAAAAAAAAAAAAAAAAAAACCACCCTTTGCTGAAGCTGGAATTGTAAACATATATCAGTAAGTTAAGTTGAAAAAGCCTTAATAGAATGCAACAGTTGAAATGCTGAACGGCCCAAAAGCCCGGGAATTTAAAGTTAAGGTTACACATTAAAAAGACAAAAACAACAAGGAGTCTGGTGGCACCTTCAGAAATTAATCTGTTAGTCTTAAAATGCATCTGAAGTGGTTTTTTACCCACGAAAGTTTATGCCCAAATAAATCTGTTCGTCTTTAAGGTGTCACCGGACTCCTTGTTGTTTTTGTGGACACAGACTAACACACGGCTACCCCCGATATTAAAAAGACAAAAATTCAGGCACAGGAAAATATGGTAATGCCAGTGATGAGCTTCCAAAATCTTAACAACCGGTTCCCTCCTCACCCCATGAGAGGGTCGTGGCCCACCCCCGGCGACTCCTGCCCCATCCAACCCTGGGGCATGGGGCATTCCTTGACACCCCCCACCACGGACCCCTGCCCCATGCTCCCCTGACCTCTGACTGCCCCCAGAACTGGGCAGGAGGGTCTCATGAGCCACCGTAGTGGGTGCCAACCCCGCCCCTAAGAGCCAGAGGGACCTGCCGGGGGGCAAGGTGCGGAGTCCTGGTGGTGCTTACCTGGGGCAGCTCCCAGGAGCGGGGGAGCGGCTGCTCCCCCACTGATCACATCAAACTGGCGCCTTAGGCGCCGACTCCATGGGTGCTCCGGGGGAGGAGGTGGAGCGGAGTAGAGCGGGAAGCACCCACAGGGAAAATTTGGTGGGTGCAGAGCACCCACCAGCAGCTCCCTGCCCTGCACCCTGCCCCAGCTCGCCTCTATCTCCTCCCCTGAATGCGCCACCACGTTCTGCTTCTCCGCCTTCCCCCTGGCTTCCCGCAAATCAGCTGTTCGCATGGGAAGCCTGGGAGGGCTGAGAAGCAGGCGGTGGCTTTGCGCTCAGGTCCAGGGAGGCGGAGGCGAGCTGGGGCGAGGAGCGGTTCCCCTGCGCCACCCCGGGTTACCTGCTGCAGCACGGGTGGCCCTCCTCGCGCCCCCCCGCCTCAGCTCGCCTCCGCCTCCCTGGGCCTGAGCGCAAAGCCACCGCCTGCTTCTCAGCCCTCCCAGGCTTCCTGCACGAACAGCTGATTCGCGGGAAGCTGGGGGTTGGGGGCAGAGAAGCAGAGTGGGACGACGTGTTCAGGGGAGGAGGCGGAGGTGGAGCGGAAGTGAGCTGGGGCCAGGCACGGGACGGGAAGCTGCTGGTGGGTGCTCTGCACCCATCAAGTTTTCCCTGTGGGTGCTCCAGCCCCAGAGCACCCACGGAGTCGGTGCCTAAGGTGCCACTTTTGGCCGGTTGTTAAATTTAGAAGCCCTTTTAGAACCGGTTGTCCCATGAGGGAACCAGTGCGAACTGGCTCCAGCTCACCACTGGGTAATGCTGAGTTAAGATACAGCAAACAGTCATGTTGCTGAGGTGCACAGATACTATGATAAGGTCCATAAAAGCACATAGATATATCAGAAATTTTGCATCTAGTGATGCCCATTTCCTAAAGACCATTAAAACTGGCATATAGAATTCCTAATCCATGGATAAACTCTTCTAATCCCCAAAAGCTAGCCAATGGTACTGTGATAAATGAAGGGGGTGGGTAGCTTCCTTTTATGGGCAGCCAGCCAGCCAGCCATAAAATTCCTGTTAGTAGCTGTTCTCTACTTGCTTTACCTTTAAAGGGTTAAAAAAGCCCATAGGTAAAAGGATGGGAGTGGGCATCTGACCGAAAGAGCCAATGGGAGGGCTAGAACTTTTTAAAATTGGGAAAAAACTTTCCCTTTGTCTGTCTGTCTATTGTTCTCTGGAGAGAGGAGACGCAGAGCAGGAACAGGGCTGAACTTTGCTATAGGAAGCTTTAAGACAGGTATGAAAAACCATCAGATCATACCTAGAGACTACTTCTTTGAAACCCCCAGATATATAAGTAGATCAGGGAATGTCTAGGAAGACGTGATTATATTTATCTCTTTTTTTTTTCCCTTCTTCTTATTGGCTCGTGGACTCCTCTGTGCTAACCCACAAATGCTTTTGTTTTGCTTGTAACCGTTAAGCTGGATCTCAAGAAAACCATTCTTGATGCTTAATTATTATATTTGCTCTTTTTAAATCTTGCAATAACCTAAATTTCAGATGTATTTTCTTTTTGTTTTTAATATTTCCCTTTTTAAGAACAGGATGGGGGTGTGTGTCCTAAGAGGTTTGTGCATATGTTGTTTAATTAGGTGGTGGCAACAGCTGCTTTCCTTTTTTTTTTCAGCTCTTCCCCAGAGGGGTGTGTGAAAGGGCTTGAGGGTACCCCACAGGGAGGAATTCCCAAGTGCACCTTCCTGGGTCCAAAGGGGTTTTTTGCACTTGGGTGGTGGCAGCATCTACCCATCCAAGATCAGAGAGAAGCTGTGACCTTGGGAGTTTAATACCAGCCCGGAGCGGCCAGTATTAATTTTCAGAATCCTTGTGGGCCCCCTTGTGGGACCTTCTGCACTCAAACTGCCAGAGTGGGGAATCAGCCTTGACAGGTACCAATCAAATTTTTAGACCAGGAGAGAGTAAAGTCCGAAGATGTAGCTATTTCAAGCCATCTGTACATTTTTGGGTTATGACAAGGCAGAAGATGGGAGACTTCTAAAAGCATTCAAACACTTCATTTTGATAACTCGTCATTCACAAATGCCTTATTTGCTTTAGACTTTCCAGAAAAATTCTACATGTAAAATTTCAATGAGATTGGTTTAGTTTTGGTAAATTACAGGAGGTATTAAAAAGGGGGGGTTATTGGGGAAACTTAGCTTCAAGCTTAAATGTGGACAGATTACTATCCTTCAAAATTACATACACTCAGAGGACACTTCTTTACTGTAGTGGAACATAGCATAGCAAAGAAGATGAAAATAGACTACAGAATGCATACAGCAAAGGAAAAGTGATATAAATTATGGTGACAAGAATATAACTGGTAAAAACACTGAAGTAAAGAAACCATATCATGTTAAATGTGAAGTATCCTATCATATATCATACTTCAGCATGAATATATGAACTTACTGGAATGAGTACATCACTCTTGTAGCATGACTAATACAATCAGCTTGTTCATGTGACCCTGATGAGAGCTTCCTGTATGTGAGATTTTAAGGTGAGAATTTAATTATTTCATTGAACTAGAGCTAATGTCATCTGGCACTTTAAATCTCTCAAATGAAAAGTTATCAGCAGATAAAAACCTTTTGTTGAGTTCAGTCAGTGATTCAGAGAGGTGAGTTTGCAGAAATGGCACAACCAAATCTAAAGGTAATGTTAACATTTATTCTTTTGGAATAAAGAACAAATTTAGGAGCTCATGAAGTATTGTGCTGAGAGCACTCAACAAAGCCAGGCACAGCATGGGGAGACACTATTAAAACTTGCCCTTTTAGCTCCATAGTTCACTGCTTTAGAATAACCTGCTGCTAGTTCACCACTGGTCTCTGCTACCCAGACACTCCCAGTAATGGCCCCCCAGTTATCTGGTGGTACTTTGATATAGACAAATATCCATGTGGTACTAGAATAAAACCACCAAACTCACTTCATCTTGTGACTTAAGCAGTGCTTAAACTTCTAGAAATAGAAGAATTGAGCTCTTACCTCCTATGCCACTATTTTTATTCAGAACAGTCATGACCTTGAGTTTTCCCCAAGCCTGCATTTGTTAAAGGGGCTACATGGATTCACCCGCTTGCTGCTAAATCTTCATCAAACTATCAGAAACAGAAGAAAGAAAAACCATTACTAGTACTTCACGACTTAGAGACGGCTCTTTGAAATGAAGGGCTGGAATCTCTTTCCAGGAAACATTCAGATCTGTATCTGATGCCAGCAGCAGTATCCAACTGAGAGGAGCTACAAACCAAGCATGTGTTAGTACCCCAGGGCACAGTTTGGGCAGCAACATAAAATGAACAAGACAAGGTAGTAGCAAGATAAGAATGGACTGAAGGTTCTTTGAAAGGCTTTAAATGATGCTGATATTTTTAACAGCTTTTAAACCCATTTTAAAGAGCTCCTCTGCTAAATGTTACAATTAATACATTAGAAGGTTTGTTTAGAATTTTTCCCTCCTCTTAAAACCAGTTTTCTTCTCTCCTATTTCCTTCCTATCTTGCATTCCCAAACCAAATAGTAGCATTTAGTCTTTTTTGGTTTTGTGGTGCTGGTGGATGTTTGAATATACAGAGGCACATTTTTAGAAGGGTGGCAGCCTCTCTTTCATATAGGGACTTGCGTGTATGTGTGCGCGCATGCCCTCACTTATGGCCAGAAAGGCATTTGAGATTATGAATCAGATTGGAAGAAATTGCTTTAATTTTCTTTGATGTTCCAAAGGCAGGAAAGAATTTCACACCTTTGAGAATGCCTTTCGTCTGCAAGAACATTATAGCTTGTGGGGGTGCCAATCAGAGCCAATTATAACTGGATTGGCCTGTGTTAGCATAAATCTTTCCTTCTCAAACTTGCTTTTGTGGTAAGCTCACAGTTTCTCAGATTTGTATGTAGTGAGATGTATAGAGATGAAACATGCATTTGCACTTTGTATTAACGTTTCAGACATAATGACTAAAAGGAGTAGGAAGGTGTCCAAATCAGCTTTATTACAAATATCCACTTCTTCAAGTAGGAAAAATATTCAGATCTATGAGCAGCAGGCAACATGCTAGGATTCACTAATACATAGCACGAAAAAGATTCCAGTGGTGCAGAATTGTGGGGTCAGGGAGGAGAGGGGCCTGGTCCCCCTCTCACTTACATCATTGAAAAACAGCAGGAACTCCACTAAAGCCAAAGCATGAAAAGAGAATCCAACCCCAGAACTTGGAATTCTACTAGAGTGCAATAAATTGCACACACCTATCACCACACCAAGAGCGTTCCTGAATGCTCAAAACCCTCCCTGAAGAAATGAGGCTTGCAGTGGCACAGAAACTTATTCTACCGGCTCAGTAGCTAGGCTTTAGGCCAGAGGTGGGCAAACTACGGCCTGCAGGCCACATCCAGCCCACGGAACCATCCTGCCCAGCCCCTGAGCTCCTTGCCTGGGAGGCTCGCCCCCGCTGTTCCCCCACCCACGCAGGCGTGCCACTGCATGGGCAGCAGGGCTGCGAGCTCCTGCCGCTCTGAACGGCATGGTAAGGGGGTGGTGGCGGCGGTGCCGTGCACAGCACTTAGGGGATTGGGTAGGGGGTCCCGGGGGGCAGTCAGGGGACAAGGAGCAGGGGGGGGGTTGGATAGGGTGTGGGATCCCGGGGGCGGGGGGGCAGTTTGGGACAGGGGCTCCCAGGAGGGGGCAGTCAGGGGACAAGGAGCAAGGGGGTTGGATGCAGAGCATGCCTCTTCAACATTGTGGTGTCACATCATGGCCGGTTTTGCTTCCCCTTCTATCAATTTTAAATCAGTTTATTGTGTTTTCATGAATGTTACATGGGAAGAATAAAGACTGTAGGGTACAAGTCACAATGGGGCCTGGAGTGTTGTCCTGCCGAGCACTGGACTGCCTGCTGCCAGGTAGAATTTGCAGCCCTGAGTTAGGTGTCCAGACTCCCTATCCAAGGCATGGGAGCGGGAGGTGCCTAAGAATGGGATTCATAGAAGCTGGTACATTGAGCAGGGAAGATGCCTAACTAGCCAATAGGAAATGCTGAGGAGAGGGATGTGACCTGAGCCCTATTCCTCAGTGGGAGTTAGGTGCCCATCTCCGTTTGGGATTCACAGCTATGAGCTCTGTCCTGGAGTTAGGTGCCTAAACCAGCCAGATTAGTCCTTTGTCAAGAAAAACTAAGGCAGACGAGCCTTCCCACTCTCCCCCAACCATTACCCCTGTGGTTAGAGACCCCAGTTCAATTCTCTCCTCCTCCTCCTGTCATGGAACAGAGACTTGAACTTAGGGCTTCCCCCTTTCAGGGGAGGGCCTTAACCACTCGGCAGTGGTCTCTCAAGCTCTCCTTTTGAAGCCATTCTACTGTGTCTAAATAATTAAACATTCATTGAAGGAGGGGGACCAGAACCTGGCTCTCCCACCTCCCAGATGAGCACCTTAACCACTGGGGTTTGGAATCATTCTGAGTCACTCTCTCCAGCCCAATGACTGTTCAACTACTTCTACAATGTGGACCAGCTTCAACAGGAGAGATTGAGAGTGCCCTGTTCCAGAGAACCATGCACCCCAGAGGTCACTGCTGGGACATAGCAGACACTTATGCATGTCAAGCAGCGTGGGGGTGGATTAAACCTGGGTTTGCCGCATCCTCAGCGAGTGCTCTAACCACTGGGCTAAAGTTGTGGGTGGGGGCACCTCTCCCATCTGTTTTGTGTGGATGTGGATGTGCTCTGAGCATGTCTACCAGATTGGCCCCAAAAGCAAGATAGGTGGGAGAACACCTAGTCTCTGAATCTTGCAGTGGCTTAGGCGTGAGTTAGATATTGAGCCACCGGTCAGTGTCAGGATTTGGCTGTGCACATGTCCAGCCACAGAAATACAGGCAAGTTGGGAACTTCAACAGCAGAAACCGAAGGGCTTAGGGATTTTGGCACATGCAGGGTTAGGTGACCATTGAGTAGTGGTTTTGTGAATGCCAATGACACTAAATGTTGGACTTAGGCACCTAATGTGTAGTTAGGTGCCTAAATCCCCCTTGTGAATCCCACTCATAATGTCCAGAGTTTTTTTATTTAGGGCCTGATCCTGCACCACTGAAGTCAATAGGTAGGTGCAGGATCAAATCCTTAAGGCCAAAAATAGGTTGCTAATTTATACACATATGTAGAAGCATAATCGGGACAGTGCGTTACAAATGGCATAGCTCTTATTTGTTCTTAACTAAACAAAATTCATATTGATGTCCATGGGCTTTTCACAGAGTAAGAACTTTAGGAGCTGGTTTTGTGCATGCAAAGCACATTGGTTGCAACAGCATATTTGGCACATATAGTTATCAAGAAACCACCACCACTTATATTTTGCAAATTAAGGCCCCAAACCCTACAATGAGCTGCAATGGGGCAGACGTCTGTGCCCACATAGTGTTCCATTGAAGTCCATGGGGCCCAGTGTGGGCAGAGGGTCTGACAGGTGCACACATTGCAGGAACTGAGTCTCATTGCCTATTTTTTTTTTCCAAATTTGACCTACCAAGTACAGATCATACATCTGTGAGGGGTAGGATACGAGAGAATCATTTGTCTCGATATGTCAAAGAGTGAATCATCTACTCCAGGAAGAATGGCACGTGAACTGGCAAGATGCAATTCATGTTGACAGGACAAACCTACTAGAATAGTTTCTGCATGCTGAAGGATAATAGCATCTATTGTGGGACTCTTGTGTTTCTGAAGGAGATTGTTTGCGGGCGCTAAGTTAAATTTAAGTCTTTATGTTACTGTAACAGACAGAAAAAAACAAAAAGGTAGTTTCTTCCTCTTAAAACCCCCTCAATTCAAGCTTCTGACCCGGATCCTTGGCTCCAGCTGAGGAGTGCCCAGCACATCTTTACATTATCTTTGTAGTCCCCCACCCAATCCTGGGGCAGTTCTATGTCCAACTGGAGCTCCAGCACAAATGAAAGTAGCCCCCAGGCTTTGCTCTATCATCGATACAGGACCAGAGAATGAAAAAAGAATCTGTTAAATCTATTCATTAATCAACATTTCTTGTTTAAAATAAAAACATAAATCAGCATGATACTTTGTGGTTGCAGTCTCCTAGCAACGGAACTTTCTCTTAAGTTGTCCGCTCACGGAGGGGGTGTTTAAGTCTTTAACCACCTTCCTGTACAGCTATACTGAAACCGCTAATCAACTCCTTTCTTAATATCAGTTGGATTTTCCATCAAGAGTGGTTGTTTAGGCTAGTTCTCTAATCTGCCAACTGCACTGGCGGAGGAGTAGCCAGTGCAAGTGCACAGGGTCCCATCTAACTCAGAGGAGCCCAGGAGCGCTGGTGGCTCTAGGCAGGGTTCAGTGGTACAATTGCATCCACAGAAATGAGGCCCAGATGTGCACTGCTCACCTGGATGAGAGATGGCACCCAGGTCCCACTCTGCTGGCCGGGCGCTCCTGCCAGAACCTGCAGCAGCTTCTCTCAGCACCAGGGACTTACAGGAAGCCTTGAGCCGGGGGGGGGGGGGGGGAAGAAGAGTATGCACGCCACCGCCACTGGAACAGGGGGTTTTGTAAGCCCTTCTAATTAGATCAGAAGCATTTCAAAGTCCTGCAATATGTTGCAGTGTTCCTACTGTAAGTGCAGCAGGAAATGGACACAGCAACCTATCTGGCATATGACTAGTACTGCCTAAAAAGAAGGTTTTAATGATGCCTTGAGCCAGATTCCTGATTCCCTACATGTTTTATAGTGCAGCAAAATGAGCAGCCTCTAGGCAACCCCATGACAGGTTAGAAATGAGAAATTTTAAGGGCTATTAAACTTTCTAAAGTGTTCCCAGTGGATCAGCATAAACTCACTTAGTGCCTGTATTTCTGTAATTGTAATACAGTGGGAACATTCACAGTGTTCAATGGCTTATTCAAGGAACTAATACTTCCAGCTCTGTGGTATGCCAGAGGGAGTGGGTTAAAGCTGTGATGCAAGGGGAAAAAAGTGCAGTGGAATGGTAGTTGAAGACATGCTGCAGGTGTTTTACTTATGCATCCTCTTCTTCTTTGGGTCTAGATTCACATGGGGGACTTGGGCACCTACCTGCCACTTCAG